TGGAGACCGCACAGCCTCCTGAGACGCCAGACACAGCCCTGGGGAGAACGAACGCACAACCCTGGGGAGAACGCACAGCCTCCTGAGACGCCAGACACAGCCCTGGGGAGAACGAACGCACAACCCTGGGGAGAACGCACAGCCTCCTGAGACGCCAGACACAGCCCTGGGGAGAACGAACGCACAACCCTGGGGAGAACGCACAGCCTCCTGAGACGCCGGACACAGCCCTGGGGAGAACGAACGCACAACCCTGTGGAGACCGCACAGCCTCTTGAGATGCTGCACACAGCCCTGGGGAGAACGAACGCACAGCCCTGGGGAGAACGAACGCACAACCCTGTGGAGACCGCACAGCCTCCTGAGATGCTGGACACAGCCCTGGGGAGAAGTTGCATGCACAGCCCTGGGGAGAAGTTGCACGCACAGCCCTGGGGAGAAGCCGCACGCACAGCCCTGGGGAGAAGCCGCACGCACAGCCCTGGGGAGAAGCCGCACGCACAGCCCTGGGGAGAACGCACAGCCTCCTGAGACGCCAGACACAGCCCTGGGGAGAACGAACGCACAACCCTGTGGAGACCGCACAGCCTCCTGAGATGCTGGACACAGCCCTGGGGAGAAGCCGCACGCACAGCCCTGGGGAGAAGCCGCACGCACAGCCCTGGGGAGAAGCCGCACGCACAGCCCTGGGGAGAAGCCGCACGCACAGCCCTGGGGAGAACGCACGCACAGCCCTGGGGAGAACGCACGCACAGCCCTGGGGAGACCACACAGCCTCCGGAGAGGCTAGACACAGCCCTGGGGAGAAGCCGCACGCACAGCCCTGGGGAGAACGCACGCACAGCCCTGGGGAGACCACACAGCCTCCGGAGAGGCTAGACACAGCCCTGGGGAGAACGAACGCACAACCCTGGGGAGAACGCACGCACAACCCTGGGGAGAACGCACGCACAACCCTGGGGAGACCTCACAGCCTCCTGAGATGCTAGACACAGCCCTGGTGAGAGCACACGCACAGCCTCCGGAGACCCCGAACAGCCATGGTGAGCAACACGGCGTATCTAGCTTTATATTATTCTGCACTTCTGTATAATGTATTGCTGGGATTTGTAGTCCTCTATAGCTGGTGGCATTTTGCATTGCTGTATAATGTATTGCTGGGATTTGTAGTCCTCTATAGCTGGTGGCATTCTACATTGCTGTACAATGTATTGCTGGGATTTGTACTCCTCTATAGCTGGTGGCATTTTGCATTGCTGTACAATGTATTGCTGGGATTTCCCTCTACAGCTTGTGTCAGTGGCAGAACTACTAGGGTCCCAGAGGTCGCAGCTGTGACAGGGCCCCGCCGCTCTACTGCTGCCCTAGGAGTACTGAGGCAGAGTGCTGTCACCGGCCGTGACCTGTCTGCATTGCACAGAGACCCAGTGAAGACGTCACCGGAAATAAAATAAGGTTTGTAATGAAGATGGAAAAGCTTTATTGAAAAATGTCATCATGTTGATGGGGGGGGGGGGGGGGGGGGGGGAG